GCACAGCACCAGCTAAAACATTACAAAACTATATAAAGGTTGAAAATCAAAGACTGGCTGCAAAGAGAAAGTGGCCAAAGACTAGCTAAAAGCTAAAAGTGGCAGAAGATTAGCTAAAATGGAATTAGGACAGCTAAAAATAATTCTAAAAAGTAGCTAAAGGTAGAAAAAAAGAAATGCAAAAAGGCTGAATTGAAGCTAAAGATAGCAAAAGAATAGCTGAAAGTGGCAAAAGTCTCATTTTAAATAGCAAAACAGTAGCTAAAAGTAGCTTAAGAAGTGCAAAAGGTTTGGTTTGAAGCTAAAGTTAGCAACAGGCTAGCAAAAAGCAGCATGTGAAATATAAAAACAGCTTCAAACTCAAATGCAAACTAAAAACAACAAAACAGTAGCTGAATTTCAAAAGGCCAGCTAGAAAGAAAACAGTAGCTTAAAGTGATATGCTAGCCAAAAGCTAAAAGGAGCAGGAAGATGATAAAATACTCAAAATAATTAAAGGCTATCTAGAAGTAAGTTTAAAGCTAAAGTAGCTAAAGGCTAAAGCAGCACAAGAAGAAAAGTAAGAGGAAGGAAGTGAAGATCTCGGTGTTTTTCCCCTGAATGAGCTGAAAGTTTGAATAAAATAAAGGATAAAACGACACAAAGTCTGCAGGAGAAACAGCAGCGGCTTTTACAGAGTAAAACATTTAAAATGATTAAAATAATCTGGATTGTTTTGATTTCATCTGTCAGGAAAACGAAGAACAGCTGAAGTCCGGCCCAAGCTCCTGTTAGAGCATCAGCTTCGGCTGATGTCCTGAAGCCTTCGGCTCTGAGTGTGAGTCACTGAATGAAACAACTCGAGGTAACGAGGCCGATCAGATCAGGATCAGAAAACGACTCAAATCAGAGAAATTTACCGAGCCTGAAAACTGCCGAGTCATCGTTTTTATTTGTGTTTTGGTCTTTGAAGGGTTTGTTTTTTTTATTTATTGATTTTTTAAGGGTTTATAAACCTGTAATTG